AAAATTTCGTTAACCATATCTTATCTTCGATCAACCATATCACAAAAAAGATTGAATGGATTAACTATGTTATCAATTGAGAATAAAAATGGTTGAACATGTGGTTATTCAAATTTGATTAATATTTTTGTATCTAAAGTTACAAGACAAATAGTATTTAACCGATCGTTTGGAATTTTTCGACTTTGTTATTTGATTATAATATAAAACTTTTATATAATATATTTTTATTTTTTGTTTTATTGTTAAGTTTTAAATTAATAAGTTAGCTATTGACTCCATGATACATTTATAAATTTTACATGCATGCTATAATTATGGGTGAAATTCGCCATTAGCCTCAAAAATCCCGTAACGGGCACTGTTTTGCTGTAGGAAACAAAACTTTTAAACAAATAAAAACCAGAATTTGTGAGAGAAATCGAGAATAGAAATGGCTTTGAAGCTGAGTCTGAATTCCGTAAACTGTCAATCCTGAAAATACTCATTTTTTGTTCTTCCACAAATGGGCAGCATCAGATCTCCCAGGTTCTTCATGGCTTCAACACCGCGTTCTTACTCCAAGTAAGCTCTCATTTTATTTTTTTTCGTTAATTCAATTTATTTTTCAATTTTTACTTGGATTTTTTGTTTGCTTGATAATTTTGAATTTTGGGTTTTTAATTGTTTAAATTTGAAATTCTGATCTTAAAAAATTGATTGAGCATATTTTGGTTTTTATCTTCATTGCTGCAGCTAATAGCATCGACTTGCTCTGTTGTATGTGAATTCGCATTTTTAATTATTAGGAAGTTCAAGAGACCATTAAAATCCCCGTTCTCGTGATTGAAGCGCGCAAAAAGCATTCTTCGAGCTTTAGTTTTTCTTTTCCTTGTTTGTTTACAAGGAAAGGGTGCTGATGCTTACGCTTGCTTAGTTTGTCATTTAAAGTCCGTCTGGTGCAGATTATTGGCTGAAAATAATGAATTTTCCTATCGTTGTGGCCGAAATTTTTGGCCGACCCTTTCTTTTGTGGGATCGACAGTTGGACTCAACGGTAAGAAAATTGTTGAAAATCCATTAAAAAATCACGGCCAGACAGGGGCTAAGTAGTGAAGTAATAATAAAATTATTATGATAAAATATGGCGACGGGGTAATATAAAACAACTCATTCGTTCTAATTTGTTGGGATTTAGGTTTGACATTTCTGGTTTTTTCTCTGGGTTTTAGCGAGATGGTTGGATTGACTTTAATAACTAGTTGGTTCAATTGTCCAAATCTTCTGCAGTAAATTGACATTAAATTTTGATTCTTTGAAAAGCTTTTCAGTTTGATTAGTCCTCGATTTCTCCTTTTGTTTAACTTAGTAATGTTTATTTATTTTTACTAGTAGTTCTTTTACGCTTCTTATCATATTGTATTATTCGAGCAAATGTTAATACTATTAACCTGTGCTATTTAGATTTCAGTGGTGTGTCGTTGAAAAAAAAAAATTCAAACTTCAAGCTCTAGATCATGGACAAAAAGAATAAGAACCCTAATTCTGAGGGGGAAGGACTTACTCTTAGTATCTAGATTGATCACAGGTCCTACTACTGGTTTAAATTTGTAGTAAGTTCAAGAGACCGTTAAAATCGTCGTTCTCTTGAATTTTTGTCCTCACAAACTCAATCAACTTTGTTGCCTTACATGGAGCTTGTTTTTATATACAAGTTAAAAGCATGAATACTCTTTAATCTTAATGACTCGACATTAATCATAGATAGTGATCTAAAAGTTTGTTGGACATATGGCGGTCTTCCCGTCCTATGGAGATTCCCATTACTCCATGCGCGTGTGACAAAAGTTGCTTTATACTTAAGATACACATGTTAGACTCACGTTTGATTGGTACAACTTTCTCATGTGTTGAGTAAACTTATCATATAGAATTAATCTGCAAGTACAATTTTTTTTAATAGAATTGGTACAAAAGGACAACTGTCTTCTTGTAATTAGTTGTTGTCATTGCTAACAAATCACAAGAGAACAGTTATTTTCCTGTACCAATTCTATAGAAAACAATTTGTACTTATAGCATTGCTCTATCATATAAATATAGCATAATTTGGGGTTCTCACCAAAGTGGGGTTTTAGGCAATCGTCTATCTCGTCTATAGTCAGGCTGCCACTAGTTATAAAATTCTCTAAATATTTTTAAGATGATACTATTCATGGAAACTTGTAAACTATCAAAATTAGCAATAACAATATAAAAAATGCCAAAAAAAAAGGCAAAAAAGAAAAATCATTTTCTACTATTCAATTTAGCACGTTGTTTGGATGAGCAATTTTTTTATGGGGGAAAAAAAATTGCCGATAAATCCAACCTTATAGTCCATATCAAACAACACAATTAATATTCAATCCACTCCGAAACGTACATTTCAGCACGCATTATTGAGCCACCCAACCCCACAGCTCAATGTCACTGCACGTACATTTTCTGCACTGTAGCTTGAGATCCGAAGAGGTTCTTTTCTTCCACTCATCAAATTCACCTGATACGCACGTCAACTAAACTTTTGCACTAAGATCTAGCAGCGAAATTTTTGATCGACATTTCTGCGTCGTTGTTGGAATTATACGTACATTTTCTGATTTTCAGGTTCGTTACTATTCATTTTTCAGTACGTTTGTTTCTGCGCTAATTTCGCACTTCAGGCTGTTTTTTGTTCATTTTATGTGATTTTGAGATTTCGAATTTATGAAGCTGAATTTGTCGACGATGAGTTGTTGGGGATGAATTTTAATGTAACAGTTTTAGATCTGCGCTGATAGATGTTCTGAGAAATACTTTTATGATTTGGTTGAGAAGATTGTCGTAGAGTTTGGCACATAGGACATTGATCTGACTAGCTCAACTGGACGCTTCTGTAAAATGATGTCGAAAAGTTACTCTGTGAGATCCATAGGGTTATTCTTCGACATCCACGTGTCTAAATATGTTTACAGCTGGTAAAGCAAAATTTATATCCTAATTTGATCGCTGCGGAGAGTGTTGGCAAAAGTGTAAGGGAAGTAAATGTTAGGCCGTATATTTGCTAATAAGTGATATTGTTTCGGGTTTGATTGAATCATTTTTGTGGGCACTATCAGAGTTTCGACCTTGATCAATTAATCTCCATGATTTCTTGGATTGTTGGAAAGGTTCAAGTACTTAAAATTTTTGAAGAACTCGGGAGAATAAGGAAGGAATTTTTGAAACCTGTTGTTAGGTGGTTATCAATTTCATTGTTTGAAGAGGGATTATATGTTGTAACCAACTATATCTGTACTGGCTGAAACCGACTCTAACAATTCTAACTAACCATTACAAGTTGCTAAGTACATAAATAAAAATGCTAATCATTGCTTCCAACAGTCCACCAAACTTAGATTAGATAGATGTTTACTTCGTATTCGTACATGCACTTGTGAATGGCGTCATTGTACTTAAAAAAAAAGACATATTATTGATATTTGGATATTACATTTTGAAAGATTTCAATCTTTCTCAATGGATGTCCTAGTCTATTTAGCCATACAAAATCATAAGAAACATTTTAACAGACTTCCATACAAAATCATAAGAAACAAAAGTTGAAGGTTTTAACTCCTGAACAAGCTGCTTTGTCGAAGAACCAGGGTTTTGCTTCTGAAGGTTAAACTGCATGGAGTTGAAGAGAAATGGAGTTAAAATTCAAAATCACTTCATATTGTTAGTTCGGGAGAGAATGTGTTGCTCATTTAAACATTTTCTCCTGCATTTTATATTCTCCTTTTTTCTCTCTAAAACAGACGAAAGAACTTGTTTTATTTTTAGTAGTGTTATTAATGTATATTTCTTTTTTGTATTTTGATCAGTAAATATTTTTATTATTAATGTGTCAATGAGGATCCATATCCACATGAAAAACTTAAAATTGTCACCCTCGCCTTAGCAAGAAAACTTACCCCTATATAAGATCACAGAACATTGTTCTGCCCGCCCACACCACCCCCTACCCAAAAAAGAAAAAAAAAATTCAATAGGTAGATGGAACCACTATTTCTCTCCCGTTGATTTCTTCCCTTTGTTCATATCTAATATCTTTTCAAGATATATTCTTCCTTCATGATGAATATAGAGTTCTGCCGACACCTGTTTCAGGTGACCATCTAACTTGATTACCAATTGCTCTCATTTTATTTGCAAAGAGCTTGTTGACACGCAGAGATGCATTACCATTACCACATGGATGTGTTAGTTCAAACCAAATACGACATGCATGAAACCCAACAATTGCATTCAAATTGTATTTTACTCATTCTCTCATCCTTTTCCAGGTTCAGTAGATGTCTGTTCGTGTTACAAATACTGCTGGTTTGCTAAGAAAATGGCATGTTCATCATCTATCAAACAATGAATAGCAACGGTTGAGTTAGCAATACCTCAACTCTGTCTAGAACTCTTCTAGAGTTCAAATACTTAAGTCTTGACGAAGTTTGGTCAGCTAGAACTCCCTGACGTGATTGCTTACGGGAAACTAAATAGATACAATGGTCAGCAAACAACATTTGTTGACCTACTTGTATCTTTTGGTCTACATATTGTTGTCCTCAGGAGTTATTTTGTACAACAAGGTATGTATTGTATAATACATGATGAATGTCTGATGCTCTCTCTCTCTCCCCCTCTCTTGCTTGATATAGATATTGGCAGCATATTTGTAACACTTATTAATATCACTGCCTCACCCTCACCAATTTTGGATCACATTAGATTTGAGGGTGGAGAGTTGCTTTTGGGATTTTGCTATGGAAATATCAAGCTTTGGTGTTTAATCTGCATCTTCACGACCACTGTGTGCAAGAAATGCACACTTCTATTATTCGGGAATTAGGATATGAATTGGCACTTGGCACCAATTTGGCAATGTTCTTTATTCTGAAATTGGCTTAAATAAAATAAACAATCATGAAAATTAAATAACACATCAAATTAGGTCCAAATAATTCCTGCAAAATTGCCCTTATATTAAATGATTTACATAAGTTTAGATAAATTAGGTGTTATGGGAAGACTAGATATCTTAAGGACTTGTAAACATATTAGCTGGTTCTCTAACCTCTCTTTTTCCATTTCGTTTTCTTAATTCCTTGCCAGAGGAGTTTTTATTACATTTTGCCAATGCCATGCATTTTTAAGTTCATTTGTACATTTAATATTTTGAAAGCTCGTACTAATGTGCTTCTTTTTTATGCTTATTCCAGTGGGTTCTCTCGCCAAAATATTTCAACTTCCCATTTCCAATAACGCTTACCATGATTCATATGGGCTTTTCAAGCTTGGTTGCATTTTTTCTAATACGCGTTTTCAAGGTATAGGATTTTCGGAACTCCTTTTGCTATTTTCATATTTTGTCATATTACGCCAATGTTTGTTGGTAGACTGACTTGTGGTGTGATGGTTTAAGTTGATAGTGAAGGCTGTAAACTTATGTTGGTTTTTTCCACTGACCTTGCATTGTTAATTACAAGAGTGTTAGCTGAGACAAATGCAAGAGAAAGTCATTACTTTCAAGAAAAGAGAGAGAGAGAGGGAAATTAGTGGATTGACTTTTATAAGTTCGAAAAAATCATTCCTGAATTCACCCTTAGTTAATATGGTATGACAGTTTCTTAGAATGTGAAATGAAGGCTTTACAAATCAAGCTATATTTGTTTACGTAACTATTTTTTGCTGAGGTCTCACACTGAGAGGAAAAAGTCCATGGCCTGCAAGCCGCAAGGGTTAGTTTAATATATGGATTTCAATACTGCAGCTTTAATATATGCTTCCCAAGGTCTGGTGCAGATGTTAAATTTGCTTGCTCCATTTTTAGGATGTTTCCTCTTACATGTTGCTTAATGGCCACGGGATTGTATAATCTCCACTTAGTCATGTTAGACATTTGCACAATTGTCAGGTTGTTACGTGTAGTATTAGTATTTTTATGTTTCTATCCTTCCTTCTAGCTAATACATGCAAAAAATTGTTAGCACATACTATACTATATGAACATGTACAACAAGATACACACCATGCCTTGTCATACCATTCAACCAGTTGGGATGCATCCTGCTGGGGATCTAGGGTTTATTTACTTGTCTAGTTTGTTTTTTCTTCGTAGTTTCTTCATTCCAGGTGTCATGTTTGAATTGAAATGATTTACAAATGCTCATTGTTGTGCTCCCTTGGCACAGTATCTATAAACTTCTCTTGTAGAAAAATAATTGCACCCTTTTTGCTAGTTATCTATATAAACTTCAATATTATATGTTTACCTATTCGGTATATTTCTTACCATGCTTGGCTGATTTGATGTTAATTTATTATGATTTGTGCAGATTGTAGCACCCGTCAAGATGACGTTTGAAATGTAAGAAATGAGTATCCACATTTCTTATTTATTTCATCTACCATTTTGTAGATGACCATTTCTAACTGAATTTGCAGATACGCCACATGTGTGATTCCTATCAGTGCATTCTTTGCATCAAGTCTCTGGTAAGCATGGTTATGTCTATTGGGTAATCTTGCTTTGGTTATGTCTATTGGGTAATCTTGCTTGGGTTTTGCAAAAAAAAAAAAAAAATACTCTTATCGCATTAAGGCATATTTGTTCTTAGATCATTTGATAACAATGAGTTTTTAAATCAACTGATTTGATTGTCACCTCAAACTCCTTTACGTTTGTTTTTTAGCACGAGGTAAATTCCTACTCAAAATAACCATCATGGATCTTCTCTTTGTTTGATACCTTAATACACTATTTTCAAATAAAAATATCCAATTTAGACAGTTATTTTAACTCATTTTTTGATGTTATTTCCACTGATTTTTGAGACATGGGATTAATCAATGTTCTTAAATTTCAAACTGGCCTAGATTCATACAGCAAGTTTTTGCGCAGTAAAGAAATCGTCCCTTCCTTGGGTGGGTTCTTTATCAACACAGTTATATGACAAAACTGCAGAGTATTACAAGCAATCTATTAAAACAAATAAATGAGTGTGTAGACCAGTCATACCTCCAATAGAAGTTATTGTCATCAGATCTGCTTTTCTGCTAATTTTCATTTCATATGCGTGTTTTATAAGCACATTTGTGTATTTGGCAATGTTTTAAAATTCGACCTGGACATTGACCTGGAAAAAGTGAAGGATCAAGGGTTGAATTGGGGTTAAACTGGTAGTAGAAAAAGTTCAACAGATAAAAAGAAATGCAAAATCTTGGGATGAACCGGCCGGTTTTGGGTGTAAACCAACCCGTGCTGTGATTATTTTTACGGGTTCTGGATTTCAGTTTTTTTACAAATATCTAGACTAGAATTTGGACCAATTCCCAATTTCCCCAGTCGAACGCTTCAGTCTTGTCTGGTTCCTATAATTTCGGTGTTTGGAGATGATTATCTTCATCTGCTCTGCTTTCTTCACATAACCTTGATGACTTCTAAGCCACGTAAGATTTTCACAAGGCATATATCCTCTCAATTGAAATTATTATTATTATTTTTGCTCATACAGGTTTGGGAATACTGCTTATTTGTTTATATCCGTGGCCTTCATCCAGATGCTCAAAGCCCTAAGTATGTTTATATATTTTCTGTCATCTTAGCTTAAATTGGCATCCTCAAGAAACTAACTAGTAAGATTTATACTGCTTCATACTGAATCACAGTGCCAGTGGCTACATTTCTCATGGCTGTTATTTGCGGAACTGACAAGTTAAGATGTGATGTATTCTTGAACATGGTCTTGGTCAGTGTTGGCGTAGTTGTATCCTCCTATGGTGAAATCCACTTCAACATTGTGGGTACAGTATACCAGGTTACAGGAATATTTGCTGAAGCTCTTAGATTGGTCTTAACCCAAGTTCTACTCCAAAAGAAGGGCTTAACACTCAATCCCATCACGAGCTTATATTACATTGCTCCCTGCAGGTATTCTTCTACCATATAGCAGGCGTCAAATTACTGGACACACTATAATGTTAGAACACGTGCTCAAAGAAGTAACACATGAAAGAAAAAAATGAGTGATTTTTATTTGTTTTACAACTTTTAATTCAGAAGAAAT